GCGTACCTTTAAAAGGTATCTGCAAGCGAAACGCTATCTCTTTTGCACATTTAAAAAAAAAGCTACCCATGAGAGAAAAAAATTCGGGGTCAAGCCAGAAGACATTATTGCGGGAGGTTATTCAAAGAAGGACCCTTTTATCCAAGCGGGTACACCAATGCTGAATAACAAGGTTAAAAAATTCCAGATGAAAGATGAACAGCAGTGTAGACCAGCATCATAGCATTTTGAAAAATACGAGTTTTTAAGTTCTTTCCACCAAATCAAAAGATGCTCTTGGTGTTACGCCACTGGAATACACTCCTGTATCAAGAATAGTAACTTGGATTTGTTCATTGAGCTGTTTAATTGCGTAGTATAATTTAATTTATAAATTCGGTTTTAATTACATAATGTCAAAAGCAATTTTTTTCTCCACGCCACTATAGGCAACACGTTCAATGAGTACCACAATCTTTTCTCGGGGCCAAGAAATTCTACTTCATGCAAAAGTATGAGAAAAAATACCCATTCTCAAGCGAAACCCCAAAAAAGTAACTTTTTTAGAGATAAATGTAACCCTTTTTTAAAAATTGAGAATCTGGCATTGCTCCAAACTTTGCCAAAAAAACATGACTTCCTTTACTCACCCTGTATAAGTGCACAAATGAAAAAAATATACCGGTCAAACCTTGTGCGTGTTCTCAAAGAGTTAGTGAAGAACCTCCCGAATACCGCAACTCGATATCTCTTTCCGTTCCGAAAATATCGAGATTTGAATTTGGGTAAAATTTTCCATGTTGCAAAGCAACTGTCCACCAGTTTATTTTCTCCTACTTCTATTTAGACTTTTTAGGCGATTCTCTAGTTATTATTACTAGAATTTGGAACCTAATGGTTTCAGTACTTGTAGGTAGCTTTTGAAGTTGCTGGAACTGGGTCCCGGGTTGCTGGGAATGAAATATTTTTTTAAAATTGAATCAGCACCTACGTTAACTGTGGTTCAAATATAAATCTGTAGAAACGAGCAGATTTCGAGATATTTCAAAATAATTCAAAAAATATGCTTCCAACCTCCAGTTGCACTCCTTGTCCCGGGTTGCTGGGGATGAAATATTTTTTTTAAATTGAATCAGCACCTAAGTTAGCTGTGGTTCAAATATAAATCTGTAGAAACGAGCAGATTTTGAAATATTTCAAAAAATATGTTTCCAACCCCCAGTTGTACCCCTTGTCCCGGGTTGCTGGGGATGACATATTTTTTAAAAATTAAATCAGCCCTTAAGTTAACCGTGGTTCAAATATGAATCTGTTGAAACGAGCAGATTTTGAGATATTTCAAAAAACAAAATAAAAATAAAAAATCCCTCTCGTATACCCCTTGATATAATTTCCCTAAGAATATGTTTTTTTTTATGCTGATATGTAACTGTAGTGGAATTTTAGATAACTAAGTCAAGTGAGGTAAAATACAATTTCTGTCGATTGACCCGACGCCACTAGGCGTTCGGGTATCTTCGGAAAATTAGGCTACTATAATCTTTTGCCACCAACTTCACACCGGTAACTATACTTACTTTTTTTGTAGGACCTATTCAGGGCCGGACAAAACCAGACAAAAACATACAGATAAATTCAAAAATATCACGCCTTAAATGAATCAAGAATCATTCGCCTTCATGTTGTACAACTGTACATTCAACATTCAATCCGGCCACAGCTATGTATTGAGCACTATCAGCGCCCAGATGAAAGTACTCGTCAAATATTGAGCGATTGAAGAAATAAAGTTTTTTTATTCAATCTTTAATATACCCAATGACATCTCAAAACAGATAGACACCGCATCTCATTCATAAACTGATGTTTGTTGTGATGACAAGACCGCCCCCCCCCCCCCATGGGTCAGGAGAGGTGAGCTGCTCAAGCGGGATCATGGTGGGGATGCATCAGAGGTGTAAACAAGACCCGCCTTTCCCGTCAATCAATTGATCAAAATAATGTAGGAATGGGCACCGGTGCAACTCGTTAATCTATGTATACTTATATGATATAAGTTTGATGGGCGCGTTGATGTACCAAACAATTTGGCAACCTAATTGGAGGGGATACACCGGAAGTGGATCTCTCTCCTAGATGTTGGCGACGCAAAATTTTGTTTACATGCTGTAATGTCTATCTGTGTCATGTCATTGGATATACCAATAAATTTTTTTTTTTGAGGCTTAAAATGCGTTTTTGGGCGAGGTACCTACCCGGAAAAAATTTTTACTCCAATGGAATCTGGATCCTACTTTATGTATGAACCCTTTCCAATATAGACCACGAGCCGCCACTGCTACCTACATAAATAGATTGTGGAATCTAACAGCTCATTTTTGAATATATGTATACATAAAAATAATATTTTACAGGGGGCGGCAATTTACATATTTGCCCCCCCGCAAAAAATTCGTGGATCCGGTCCAGGGGTGCGATTTTCGAAACCATTCGAGTACATTTCGTACACAAAGTTTGACTGCTTCCCATTTAATTTACATTGCTGTTAGTCAAATTCCGTGTACTCGAATGGTTTCGAAAATCGCACCACTGGACCTATTCATTCACTCACCGGGAACAAAACGCTGTTGCCACTTAAATAATTATGGTTTTGGGCGTGGCTCGCTCCAGCTCCAAGATGACGTTGTGTAGTTGTGTCGCCTGTGGCGCGTTCGATAACATAGTTTTTGGTTTGGACATTATTTTTCAAGGATAATACACACTACTAAGGCTTGCTTATCGGCCTCGTTTTTGGTATATCACCGTGGCCGATGTCATTAACTGAGTCGTCAGCTGTTTGCGCCAGCGGTCCTAGTTTAGAATTTAAATTTATGATGAAAAATATCATTAAATTTTGATCAACATAATAGGCAAAGAGGAAGATATAAACGAAATCTAAAAAGGAGTTGTTTTAGAAGGTTAAATAATGTAGTAAAACCAAGTATGCATAGAGCAAAAGCCCGCGGAATCATAACCTGTGGCGCAAACAGCCTACGTCAAGGCGAGAAACGACATGCTGCCTACGTCACAACAGGTGATTTCGCGTGGTGGGGGGCTTCAGACTTGTTCTACATAGGCCTTATGAGGCTATCATGTAGTAGTAGTGTGTATTATCCTCGATTATTTTGCATGTGTGGAGGTCCTTATACTAAATAACCTGAATTGTTTTCAATAATTTCAAAACAAATTGGGAGAAATTACTGACACGAATACAAATAAGCTAGAGTGTTTGGTGCGTGCTTAAGTAAGCTTGCCGTAGGAAAAGAGGAATATTTCACCTACAAGAGAAAGTGACTATGTGATCACGTGACTTGCGGAGTGTATCCGGCAAAAGTATTTTCCGAAGCTTTTCTAGAAAAGAACTTGTCAATACACAATAGAACGTCAAGAACTACTTCTGTGAGGTTTTCATTTGCACTCCGACTTTCCGGACGATAACAATTTTTGAGGAATGAAGCATTGAGAAAGCTGAAGTGTGCGATTTTGATCTGGGAATCAGATATAAACCTCTTGTGCAACGGTTTCGTCATCGAATCTCTAGAATTTTCAAAAACAGTTAGAGGCCCGCGGGCCCCAGAAATGATGACAATAATTATGATATATTATGTTGTCGGTGTAATAGTTGTGTTCATCAAATTGCTTGGGTAATAGAGAGCGGACACAAGGATATATCCCGAGTATTTTCGAACGTCAAGAAAAGTTTCAACCGGGCTGCAGACTGGGTAACTTTTCGAGCGTATCCTGAGTGACAAACCATTTTTCCGAACGTCAAGAACTACTTCTGTGCGATTTTCATTTGCAATCCCCGACTTACCAGACGATAACAATTTCTGAGGAATGGAGACTTTACGAAGCTGAAGTTGGCGTTTTTGATCTGTGAATCAGATAATCCCCTTGTGCAATGATTGCGTCATCGAATCTCTGGAATCTTTAAGAACAGTAGCAGGCCAGTGGGCCCCAGAATCTTGATGACAATAATAATTAAGACATATCATGATACCGGTGTAATATTTGTATTCATTGAATTGCTAGGGTGATAGAGAGCGCACACAAGGATACATCTCGACTATTTTCGAACGGCAAGAAAAGTTTCAACCGGGTTGCAGTGCAGACTGGGTAACGCCTCCTGGAGTTATTTCGAGCGTATCCTGAGTGACAACCTTTTTTCAGAACGTCAAGAACTACTACGACGAAATCAATTTTTGAGGAATGAAGCTGAGAATTGAGCTGAAGTTGGTTTTTTTGATCTGTGAATCAGATAATCCCCTTGTGCAACGGTGGCGTCATCGAATCTCTAGAATTTTCAAGAACATTTAAAGGCCCGCGGGCCCCAGAATCATGATGACAATAATTATGACATATCATGTTGTCGGTGTAATATTTGTGTTCAACAGATTGTTTGGGTAATAAAGAGTGCACACAAGGATATATCCCCAGTATTTTTGAACCGCAAGAGAAGTCTCAACCGAGCTGCAGACTGGGTAACGCCTCCTGGTGTTATTTCGAGCAGTGAGTGGCAACCTTTTTTTAGGACGTCAAGAACTACTTCTTTGCGATTTTCATTTGCACTCCGACTTTCCCGGCGACCTCAATAGGTTTCTTTTACCACATCTAGATATCGAACGCACCCTGCGGTTAAGGTCTCTTGAACGTTCCCACAACTGAGGCGTTTTCACGCGACTCAAATGTTTGGGTGAGAATTCGTCCAGTTGAAGAATTCATCCCCCAGTAACGTTATAATATATTCGGAAATGGAACTATAACCGAAATCGCATGCTTTTCTCCATTATTTTACACTTGCATTTGGCAACACTGCATAGCTAGTTACGATTTCTGCCGTCATCCGTCATTTTAACCGTCTTTTTCTAACGCGAAAATACACAGGTAACACAGGTCATTTTTATTTTAACATAGCAGGTGTCAAGAGCGATAACTAACATTTCAGATTCCGGCACAAAATCAAACAGTTTTATACGGCAATAATGGGTGGTGACCATATGACGGTGGTAAGTCTTCGATAATTGTCTAGCAAAGAATAGATATTTTTGCATCTGCGTCCTTTTATGCCATCCATAATTTTTTTGCAGGAATACAAAGCTGAATTCATCAACTTGAAGGTTTTGGCCGAGGACCGTTCTATCGTAATATGCCAAGTCAGAAGGCGTACCCTCCTCAGGAATATGATGATGAAATATAGTCAACAAGTAGTGAGTAGTCCCCAGTTTCTTATAATGATATTTCTTTGTTAATGTTTTTTTTTGTTCTTTCAGGGAATTCCTGCCAACTTACTTCTTTTCCGTTTCGATGGTAAGCCCATCAACGGAACAGACAGACCATTCATGCTAGGTCTGGAAGAAGGGGACATGATAGAGGTCTACCGACAACAGACTGCGGGCTAAAGATTACGCTACAAGCAGTTTCACATTTATTATAATATATTTAATCCATGGATCTTGAACCTTCTTTGTTGTCTTAATAAAAAGGAAGTTTCCAAAAAAAAAAATCTACGTTTTTTATTTATTTTCAGTGTTGAATTTTTAGGAGTGAATAATGACAATTGAGACATTAATTAATTTTTTTTTTCGTAGATACACAGTGCAGTGCCGGTTTGAGGTAGTGGGCCGCCCGGTGCTACAAAAACGCAGCGCCCCCCGACCGTTCGGAAAAAAACTAACAATTTTTTTGGAGCATTTATTTCAAAAAATGTATTTAATTCTTTTATACAGGGTGTCCCAGGGAAAACAGTCTATCTCGATTTATTGGATTTGGAATAAGAATCTGGAGAAACGCTCGGACACGGCGATTTTTGATTTGAGGGGGAACCATTTTTCTGTTTTTTTTTAACCCCCGCAGTTTTAACCCCCTAGTTGGGGGGGGGGGGGTAACCCCCAAAATTTGAATAGGGGATAGGGGTCGTGTCCTACATCTTTTTAAAGGTCTCATCGAGTTCTTTATGGCCCTGAATTTTCGTCTTATCATTTTCATCCGTAACGAAATGTCAAAATCTTAGAAATAGACTATTGTTTCAGTGGGAGTAAAAGCGATACTTACCTCCCCTAATAAAAATACTTGAAACTGAAGTTTTTTATCATTATTAATAATCAGGTGAACACGTGATTTGTAAATTGTAAGTATGTTTATTAAGGGAGGCAAGTATCAATTTTACTCCTACTAAAACAATAGTCTATGTCCAAGATTTTGACAAACTGTCATTTCGTTACGGATGAAAATAATAAGACGAAATTCTAGGGCCATGAAAAACTTGATGAGACCTTTGAAAAGAGGTATGACACGACCCCTATTCCCTATTTAAATTTGGGGGGTTGTTCTCCCCCTAGCTAAGGGATTGAAGCTACGGGGATGAAAAAAACTGAAAAATATTCCATCCTCAAATCAAAAATCGGCGTGTCCGAACGTTTTTCCCGATTTTCATTCCAAATCGAAAAAATCGGGGTGGACTGTTTTCCCAGGGACACCCTGTATATATTTATTACGCAACGACGCTACCGCCAAACAATATTATTATCTCAAAATGAATAATTGAAGTGAGATGCGAGCTGACTATTGTCTGTCATCGCTGTCAGCTATCGCACGAGTAATACGGTTCCAGGAATTTAGGTAGAGCTGGACATGGTGATAGAGACGGGCGTAATTGTACTTACTTATTTTTTCTATACGGATGGGTAGTTTTCCCTAAACTGACTTGTAGCTTTTTGCTTTGCTTTTTCGTATTATGGTTCAATACATTGAAATTTTAAGGGTGGTTACGCGCTTCGCGCGCCGCCCCTAAGATTTTGCCGCCCGGTGCTACTGCACCCAAAAGACCCCTGGTTAAACCGGTCCTGACACAGTGGCATAGCCTACACGTATGACTCTTGAAAAACAACAACAAGAAATTATAAAATTATGCTGTTTCTTATTTATTTTATTGATCTCTTCATCCTTTATTCTTTATCGTAAGTTGGCATTGTCGGCAAATGGTTCAGTTCAATCAAAGGAAAGGTACTTAATAGTTTCTGTTTGATGATTGATGTGGTTAAAATAAAAGTACCGTATATCGCCGATTTTTCCTGCCACTTCACTTATAATTTCTGAAAAACAAAATTGAAAAACAAACTAGGAGCTGTCATCCCTCCGGATTTCCACGGATTTGTTCTAATTTTCAAGGCGTCCCGCCCGGAGACTTTTAAGTTAACGTTATGTCCACACTGTGTGGTCAGACTACACATTACTTCTTTTAATACCTAAATATTTTTCGGAGTGGCACCCCAAAAAAAAAAATGTTTTTGAAGGCTTAAAATAAACTTTTTTGGGCGTGGCACGTCACCCGGGAAATTTTTTCGCCTCCAGCGGGCTTTTCGTCTTCAATATTCTCCCCCAATAAGCAAATAGTACAAAAGCATACAAAAATTCATTTGTACCCCCCCCCCCCCCCACCCTCCACCAAAAGAATTATGCGCCCCCTCATATGTTTGCCCCTCCCGCCCCGCAAGGCTGGCTACGCCACTGTAGATACATAGGTAATTTTCTTATTTTTAATAGGACAACTGGTATATTTTGGAATGTTTGTAGATTATATTTTGGAGTTTCGAGTTCGCTGGAGTTGGCGGATATTCCCATTGTGCAACGGCTGCAGTGGCGTAAACAGGGTGTCCCACAATCAACCTTACAGGCCATAACTTTCTTATTTTCAAAAATAAAAATTTGAAACAAAAAAAATTATTAATGGCTAATTAAGCTCTCTTCAAAAATATAAAAAAATCATCCCTTGAAAAAATCATCCCCTATTTACAACCCTTGACTTTTTTTTTTCAAATGGCACCCCTATTATTTTTTTTCATTTTTGAGAAGCTTATGAAATTACAAATGTGTATGGTGTATAAAAAGTTTGTTTTTCCATGTCTCTTGGGGGAAAAAAAATGGGCGTCCCACCCTTAGTCTTATACAGGCAATCACATTTTTGTCTACAAAAATAAAAATATGACAAAAAAAAATTAATTGTGTGCAAATTAACCCCTTTTCAAGAATATTAAAAAAATCTTTCCTAACAAACTCATCCCCTAAAAACAACTCTTGCCTTTTTTTTCAAATAGGTAGAACCCCATCATTATTATTTTAATTTTTGATTTTTTTTTCCAACGAAACATGGAAAAACAAACTTTTCGTACATCATTGAATTTGCAATTTCATGAGCTTCTCAAAAATTTTAAAAAAAATTAGGGGTGCCATTTGAAAAAAAAAAGTGAAGGGTTGTAAATAGGGGATGATTTTGTCAGGGGAAAATTTTTTCATATTTTTGAAGAGAGCTTAACTAACCATTAGTCTTTTTTTTTTTCAAATTTTTATTTCTAGAAATAAGAAAGTTATGGCCTGTAACGCTGATTGTGGGACACCCTGTATAAGAGCAGGGGGGAAGTTGGGCTCTTCCGGAACGATGGGTGAATGTTTTATATTTTCATACAATATTTTTTATTTTATATTTCGACGTGTAATATTTTATATAATTACATAACATTTTTACAGGTTTTTCTACTTTTCCTTTTTTTTTTTGTGCTTCCCAACGCCAATGCATAATAATTATATAAAATACACCAGTTATACCACCGTCCATTCCACCACCATGTAGATGCGTTCAAATTACCGCCATTAGCGTCAGCGAGTTCCATTTGATACACGCTGCACCAGTGGAGCAGTGCGCGCGAAACTCGCGGTGACGCACTTTCGGTAAAATTGAAAGTGCGTTAACTCCTACACTGCGCGCGTCTAACACACTGTGTTGACCGGTGCACCGTGCGTTCGGTATTTTGATCTGAGTTCTCCGAGCTTGAATTTACCGTTCGTTTATTTAGAAAGTGTACTCGGTGCAGGCTCATTCGCGTTCGTTTATTAAAGTTTCGTGCACTCAGATACAGCGTTCAACTTCTCTGTTCGCTCGCTGGTCACGTGATTACAGCTCCGCTCAGCACGCTCTACTTTTTGAGCAAAACTGTTCTTGAAAATTCAAGAGATTCGATGACGGCGCCGTTCAGTAGCGTATATAGGAATACATTTCGGAATGGGGGGGGGGGGGGATCGCTAGCCCACTCGCCACGCCCCACGCCCCTCTTTTTTTTGTGTCTTTTAAAGGTATTCGTTATCGATATTTAGTTGCAAATATTAGTATCGACCTATTTTATTTAGGGTAGGTATTTATTTTTTTCTATAGGTTTCCGATCGGATTTAATTTTTAATAGGTTAAAAAATTAAATAAAAAAGAACATTATGCTTTAGTTTGCTCTCCTTGATGAAGGAGGAGGAATAACCCCCGGGATACGCCACTGGGAAGGCGACCCAGAAGTCGCGAAAAAACACACTTACTTACTAAAAAGGTATAAGTTTTTGTATCAAAAAACTGAAATAAAACTGCTAAAGCAAAGCAATATTCTACACCTATTTAAAAATTCAAGTTTTTATTTTTTTTTGCCAATGCCCAATCTCATGAAAACTCGTACATTACCTAAGCCCTGGCGCAAGAAGCAGACGAGGGGCGACGCGCCGACGCAGTCGGAGTGTCGGAGCAGTACAGAGCAGCTTTCCAGTGACGAATTTTAAGGTGCTCCACACACGTAGCTCCAAACAACTCTTGTTTTACTGGAACGCACCCTTTTTTTGAGCGTCGTGTTTCTGATGCATCCATAAAATTGTAGGTACTTGAGAGGACAAGGCAGAGGAATAGCGAACAGTTCATTTACGCGAAACTATGAACCACTGAAACGCCTATCAACAGCCCGGGGCGCTGAGAGCAGCTCAGGAGGGCGTGAGGTGCGTCACTGGAAAACGACTTGGGTGTTGTTTCGAGCGTATCCCGAGTCACAACCATTTTCCTGAACGTCAAGAACTACCTCTGTGCGATTGTCATTTGTACTCCGACTTTCCGGATGACATCAATGGGTTACTTATATCACACCTAGATACCGAACGCACCCTGTTGTTATGGCCTCGTCTCCACACGTTCCAACAACTAAGGTGCTTTCTCGCGAATCAAATATTTGGGTTAGAATACGGATTCGACTTGGATCCATATGCACTCAATAACCTTATGATATATTCGAAAATCGAATTTTAACAACTATCGAAATCGCATGGTTTTCACCCAGGAAGGAAATCATTTAAGAAACTTGCACTTGGCAACACTGCATAGCTAGTTATTATTTCTGCCGTCATCCGTCATTTTACCCGTCTTTTTTTACCGCCATCATACAGAAGCCGGTCATTTCTATTTTAGTATAGCAGGTGTCAAGAGTGCTAGCTAGCAGATCAGCTTCTAGCCGAAAATCAAACAATTTCAAGCGGCAATAATAATGGATAGTCACCATAATATGGTGGTAAGTCTCCGATAATTAATTATCTAGCAAACAATTGATATTTTTCCATAATATTCGTTCTTTTATGTCATCAATGATTGATTTTTTTTTTTGCAGGAATACAAAGCTGAAATCATCAACTTGACGGTAATGGCTGAGGACCGTTCTGTTGTAATATGCCGAGTCAGAAGGCATACGCTCTTTGGAAAAATCATGATGAAATATAGTCAGCAAGTGGTGAGTAGTCCCCAGAAAGTTTTTACGGAAATCAATTATTTTCATAAACAAAAAAGCTATGAAGGGTTCATAATATTGCTCAAAATCGAGAATCGCCCTCTAGGGGCTAAACGGTTGAATATATCAAAAAGCGGTTTGCACCAATCAAAATTTCATGAAATTTGAGCCTCAGAGTGGGGGGTTCATTTTTTTCTATCTCTTGAAATAAAGGGTGTTTCCATAAGGAAGTGTCCAAATTGGCCCACCCTGTACAGCTAATTGGGGAGTGACCACCCCTCGAAATTTCTTGAATTTCTATGATTTGATAGCCCGAAAAACGTATTAACTTACGAGAAGCCCATGCCACTTTCAATTAGAAAAAAAATGGAAAGGACAAGATTTGTGTACGGAAATTTAAATTAAAATAGTACAGTCAGCTAAGTTGGTTGTTTGGTAGAGATCAAATCACTTGACACTTAACAATATTTTTAATTAGTGGTGAGTGAGAAAATGCCGAGGTGAAAACATCAAATAACTTACCCAATCATCTAGAAAAATTATTTTTTTGAAAGCTCTAAATACCAGTTTTTGGGCGTGGCACCCGGAAAAATTTTCGCGCCTCCGGAATTTTTTTGAAAGCTCGAAATAACCATTTTGGGCGTGGCACCTGAAAAAATGTTTGCGCTACCGGCGGGCATTCACCTTCTTAAATTATAATTTGAACCAATATAACAATCCACCGCCGCCACTGCCTGTATGCACCTCCCTGAAACTAATCCTGGCGGCGCCCATGTTCATTGATGTTCATTTTCCTGTTCCAGGGAATTCCTGTCAACTTACTTCTCTTCCGCTTCGATGGTGAGTCCATCAACGAAACGGACAGACCATTCATGCTGGGTCTGGAAGAAGGAGACATGATAGAGGTCTACCGCCAACAGACTGCGGGCTAAATAATACGCTACAAGCAGTTTCACATTTATTATAATATATTAAATACATGGGTCTTCAACTTGCCTAGTTGCTTATTGTCTTAGTAAAAAGTCCAAAAAAATTATCTACGTTTTTTAATTATTTTCTGAGTTGATTGGTTAGGAGTAAATAATGTGACATGAGAAAAAACTTGAAACATCTTTTTTTGGTAGGTATATACTTACATACACCTAATTTGTTTTTTTCTTACACCTAACCTCAAAATTATTTAAGTTTTTAATTTAATTAAGGACCTGGTTTATTCATCTTCAGATAAACAACTCATAAACTTGCTGGGTAACTATCTGAACGATGAATTTACCGTCTCATAATTATTGGTCGGGGGATAACGAGCCGACCATTGGGATCCGGCAGATTGCATAACTGACAGTTTATCAGAAGGTGAACAAACCGGCCCTCAATTAGGTAATATTCAAAGAATATGGATTGTGGGTAGGGTTGCCACATTTGACGAAGGCAATTCCGGGATATGCAACAAAACAAATATTTTTTCGCGGGGGGTAAAAAAATTACAATAATAATTGAGACATAATATTATGATGCTGTGTGTAGGTAATATTTGGATTCATCAAAATTGCTTGGGTGATAGAGAGCGCACACAGGATACATCCCGAGTATTTTCGAATAACAATTTTTGAAAAATGAATTCTTGATTAGGCTGAAGTGTTCGTTTTTGATCTGTGAATCAGATACTCCCCTTGTGCAATGGCGGCGTCATTGAGTGTCTAGAATTTTCAAGAAGAGTTGGAGGCCAGCGGGTACACAATGACATATTGTAAGATATATGATATATCCCGAGTATTTTCGAACGGTAAGAAAATTTTCAACCCGGCTGTAGACTGGGTAACGCCTCCTGGTGTTATTTCGTGCGTACCCTGAGTGACAACCTTTTCTTAGAACGTCAAGAACTACTTCTGCGCGATTTTCATTTCCACTCCGACTTTCCGGATGAAATCAATTTTTGAGGAATGAAGTCCTGAGAAAGCTGGAGTTGGCTTTTTTGATCTGGGAATCAGATAATTCCCTTGTGCAACGGTGGCGTCATCGAATTTCTAGAATTCTCAAGAATAGTTAAAGGACAGCAGGCCCCAAAATCATGATGACAATAGTTCTGAGGCTCTGTAATGAAAGAGCGCAGCACAAAAGAGCGCTGTTACGAAAGAGCGCTGTAACAAAAGAGCGCTGCACAAAAGAGGGCTGCACAAAAGAGCGCTGCACAAAAGAGCGCTGTAACAAAAGAGCGCTGTAACAAAAGAGCGCTGTAACAAAAGAGCGCTGTAACAAAAGAGCGCTGCACAAAAGAGCGCTGCAACAAAAGAGCGCTGTAACAAAAGAGCGCTGTAACAAAACAGCGCTGTAACAAAAGGGCGCTGTAACAAATGAGCGCTGCACAAAAGAGCGCTGTAACAAAATAGCGCTGCACAAAAGAGCGCTGTAACAAAAGAGTAACAAAAGAGTAACCCAAACTGACCCATCCTCGGAATGCGACCCAATCTCTCTAATTGCTCAAACAAAAAATGAATACAAAATAACCCAAACTACCCCGTCCTCGGAATGCGACCCAATCTCTGTTTCTCAATTTCGTCAAATTTCTCAAACAGATAAGGATACAAAATAACCCAATCTAACTCATACTGACCCGTCCTCGGAATGCAACCCAATCTTTATTTCTGAATTTCATCATATTGTTCAAACAGAAAGTGAATACAAAATAACCCAATCTAACCCAAACTAACCCGTCCTCGAAATGCGACCCAATATCTCTGTTGCTTAATTTCGTCAAATTACTCAATCAGAAAATGGATACAAAATAACCCAATCTAACCCAAACTAACCCGTCCTCGGAATGCGACCCAATCTCTGTTTCTCAATTTCGTCAAATTGCTCAAACAGATAAGGATACAAAATAACCCAATCTAACCCAAACTAACCCGTCCTTGAAATGCGACCCAATATCTCTGTTGCTTAATTTCGTCAAATTACTCAATCAGAAAATGAATACAAAATAACCCAATCTAACCCAAACTAACCCGTCCTCGGAATGCGACCCAATCTCTGTTTCTCAATTTCGTCAAATTGCTCAAACAGATAAGGATACAAAATAACCCAATCTAACCCAAACTAACCCGTCCTCGAAATGCGACCCAATATCTCTGTTGCTTAATTTCGTCAAATTACTCAATCAGAAAATGAATACAAAATAACCCAATCTCACCCAAACTAACCCGTCCTCGAAATGCGACCCAATATCTCTGTTGCTTAATTTCGTCAAATTACTCAATCAGAAAATGAATACAAAATAACCCAATCTAACCCAAACTAACCCGTCCTCGGAATGCAACCCAATCTCTGTTTTTAAATTTCATCATATTGTTCAAACAGAAAGTGAATACAAAATAACCCAATCTAACCCAAACTAACCCGTCCTCGAAATGCGACCCAATATCTCTGTTGCTTAATTTCGTCAAATTACTCAATCAGAAAATGAATACAAAATAACCCAATCTAACCCAAACTGACCCGTTCTCGGAATGCGACCCAATCTCTGCCCTTTTTTACTTAATTCATCTTTTTGAAATTCAGACAGCGCTGTTTTGTTGCAGCGCTCTTTTGTGCAGCGCTGTTTTGTTACAGCGCCTTTTTGTAACAGCGCTCTTTTGTGCAGCGCTCTTTTGTTACAGCGCCCTTTTGTTACAGCGCTCTTTTGTGCAGCGCTCTTTTGTTACAGTGCTCTTTTGTGCAGCGCTGTTTTTTTACAGCGCTGTTTTGTTACAGCGCTCTTTTGTTACAGCGCTGTTTTGTTACAGCGCTCTTTTGTTACAGCGCTCTTTTGTGCAGCGCTCTTTTGTGCAGCGCTCTTTTGTTACAGCGCTCTTTTGTTACAGCGCTCTTTTGTTACAGCGCTCATTTGTTACAGCGCTCTTTTGTGCAGCGCTCTTTCGTTCCAGAGCCTAATTATGACATATCATGCTTTCGGTGTAATATTTGTGTTCATCTAATTCCTTTGGGTAATAGAGAGCGCACACAAGGATATATCCCGAGTATTTTCGAACGGCAAAAAAAGTTCCAACCGGGCCGCAGACTGGATAACACCTCCTGGTGTTATTTCGAGCGTATCCCGAGTGACAACTTTTTTTCAGAACGTCAAGAACTACTTCTGTGCGATTTTCATTTCCACTCCGACTTTCCGGACGAAATCAATTTCTGAGGAATGAAGTCCTGAGAAAGCTGGAGTTGGCTTTTTTGATCTGTGACTTAGATAATCCCTTTGTGCAACGGTGGCGTCATCAAATTCCTAGAATGTTCAAGAACAGTTACAGGCCCACGGGCCTCAAAATCATGGTGATATTAATTATGACATATTGTCACGAAGCCTCTCTTGCTCCGCTACGTAGCTCGACTATTCAACCTGAAAATCAGAATGGGAAGGGAAAGGGAACACCAGAATAACTATAATATATTGAATGTTCTTGGCGTTCTTGATCTGTGAATCAGATATTCCCATTGTGTGCTTCGATGGTAAGTCCATCAACGAAACGGACAGTCCATTCATGCTGGGTTTGGAAAACGGGGACATGATAGAGGTCTACCGACAACAGACTGCGGGCTAAAGATTACGCTACAAGCAGTTTCACATTTATTATAATATATTAAATCCATGGATCTTCAACTTCCCTTGTCGTCTTAATAAAAAGGAAGTTTCCAAAAAAAGTATCTACGTTTTTTAATTATTTTCTGTGTTGAATGTTTATAAATAATATGACAAAAAATTGAAACATCTTTTTTGGTATATACATACACCTAATTTGTTTTTTTTTCTCACACCTTACCTCAAAATTGTTTAAGTTTTTTAACTTAATTAATAAGGAAGGACCTGGTTTAATCATCTCCAGATGAACTCGCTGGTAACTATCTTGAACGATAAATTTGCCGTCCTATAATTCTATTCGTCGGCGGATACCTAGCCGACCAATGGGATCCGGCAGATTGCATAACTGACAGTTTATCAGAAGGTGAACAAACCAGCCCAACTTTCACATGTTCCTAAATCAAGTAGATTTATAATTAATAAATCCATAGGGTGCATAGGATCTGATTTTGCTTTTGCATTCAGGTAGCGTTCTGGAGTTTGCCTTTTTGCCGCTTTTACTTTTGCCGTTTTTACTTTTGCCGTCTAGCTGACAACAAATTTAAATTAGCACACATTTTAGATTTCTCATTTTTCATTAACTAAACTGGAACACGCCCGCCAAGCAGCCCGACAAATTCGTTTTTGCCTAAATTTAATCAAACATTGTGCTGCGATCATGAAACTAATTAGTTTCCGGGAAATTTTCTGCATTCGGTTACTTATAACTAAATTTCTCAAAAATTAATTACTTATAACTAATGACCTGTTGTTTGCCTTAGCGGAAAATAAAAGCGCATATGGCAAATCAACCATTTGTAACAATTCTTCAATACCTACATTTAGCAACTGATGTTTACTTCTATCCAGAATTTCTCAAATCATTAATCAATACTTCTGAAAACTGATGAGGGATTGTTTTGGGTGTGCGATCATTTGTTCTTGGAAATTGTTTAGTTTAGCAAAAGGCATTCGGGAAATCAATGAAAAGTAATGCATTGTACGTTATGTTTAATATATTTTTCTTTCAAAGTCGATTGTATCTCATTCCATACTAATTCCATACTCAAATGGTGATAGTGACATTGGCTGATATCTTTCTCAGTTTGTATCGAGAGGCGAGCCACTAACGTCATTTTGTACACCTACTTTCTTTTGATATAATTACTTTTTCGTAAATTTTTTGTACTTCCTTTCACATTTAACGTCTACCTTTTTCTGACTTCTTATTCTGAGTCATAAAGGATACACAGATATAAATAAGCTACGGTACGATTTGTACACTCAAAAATAGGTACTCTCCCACGGTGACCTATGCATTGCCAAATACACAGGTTGTTGAATTGAGTCTACTATCTCCTTGCAAAGCTTCACTTGAAAACCACATCAGTTGTGTAAACTACCAGAGTGCTACATAAGGAATAATG